CTGTTAATGAAGGAAGGACAGAGAGGAAACTGCTGTTGGAAGCTGGAGAAAGAGTTATGTCTATCACCTGTAGTAATGTGGAAGCCAGATCCATATCTAACTAAGTTGTGAATTTAGCTAAAGAGATTTCCTGGCAGAATGTTGAAAATGCCAGTTGGCTTTTTTAGCTGTCTGTGATAAAGCATTTCAGGAGACATGAACAACAACAACAATAAAAAAGCCAGGTATGTGACTCACACCTGTAATCCCAGGAGCAACTGGACATCTGAGGCAAGAGGATGACTGTGAGTTTGTGAGTTTGAGGCCAGCCTGGGCTACACAGTGAGTTCCAGAACAACCTAGACTACAGAGGGAGTCCCTGTTTCAAATAAACAAACAAACAAACAAACAAACAAATAAAACAAAACACAAATGCTACTGTTTTCAAGCAGAATTTAGAAAAAAAATACTTGCTAGATTGAAATACTTGCTAAAAAGTCTTGCTAGATTGAAAAATAAAATCCTTGTTCCTTCCTCCCTTTTTTGTTGATAAAAGACTCTTAAAGTAAAAAATAACCCCAAGACAAGAAAAAATTCTGTCCACTATCAGTGGAACATGGTCAGAGTAAAGATTACTACAGACAAAGGGTCAGCTGGAAAACTGTTAAGATCTAACACTTTGTTAAGATCTAAAATGTATTTATTTCTTTACTTATCTATTTATTTATTTGGCTTTCTGAGACAGAGTTTCACTATGTAGCCCAGGCTGGCCTCAAACTCAGAATGATCCTCTTGCCTCAGCCTCTTTAGTGCCAGGATTATAGATGAAAGTCATTGTGCTGGCTTAGGTTTTGACTTAAGAGCATGGAATACCTTCTATCAAATTTAATGGGCTACTGTTTATTACCTAGAGACTTTATAGAGTCACTTTCCCCTTTTTATTAAGAAAAGATTTAAATTTCTACAAACTTAAAAAAGATTGAAGTGGGGCATGGTGGCACAGGCCTTTAGTCACAGCACTGGGGAGGCAGAGGCAGGCCAATCACTGTGAGTTTGAGGCCAGCCTGAACATAGTTCCAGGCCAGCTGGGGCTATAGGGAGACCCTGTCTCAGAAAGACCAAAAAAGTTTTTTTTTAAAAAACATTGTATTACTTTGGGGCTGGAGAGATGGCTCAGCAGTTAAGAGCACTGACTGCTCTTGCCGAGGACCTTGGTTCAATTCCCAGCACCCACATGGCAGCTATGAACCATCCTTAACTCCAGTTCCAGGGGAATCTGAAGCCCTCTTCTGACCTCCGAGGCATTGCACAACACAGGTGCACTTACATACATGCAGGCAATACACTCATAAACATAAAAATAATAAATTAAATATTTTTTAAAAGATTGTATTATTTTAAATTATGTGTGTGGGTATGTGCATGAGTTCAGTTGCTCCTGGAAGACCAGCATTGAATCCCCATGGAGCTAGAATTACAGGCAGTTCTGAGTTGCCCATTGTGGGTGGTTCCTCTGGAAGAGCAGTATGCGCCCTTAACCATTAAGCCATCTTTTCAGGCCCAAGAAAAGATTTTTAATACAGATTTAATCATGGGCATTGGGAGAAAGAGAGGTACTTGTTAAGAAAATGACAGTATTATATACTCCAAGGTAGGCACAGGTTTCTCAAGACAGTTGTTGGGTCAACAGTTTGAAGGGAATTTTAACAAAGGAGCACCAGTTTGGACTAAAGTGGATAGGGATAATTCAAAATGAAAAGAGAAGAACTAGGACCAGGCATGGTGGTGCACACCTTTAATCCCAGCACTAGGGAGGCAGAGGCAGGCAGATCTCTGTGAATTCAAGGCCAGCCTGGTCTGTGGTCTACATAGTGAGTTCCAGGCCAGCTGGGATACAGAAAGACCCTGTCTCAAAAATACCAAAAAAAAAAAAAAAAAAAAAAAAAACCCTTATAGTTCCCTATAGCTCTTGCCTGGTGTGCACAAAACCCTCTCCCACAAAAACACAAAACAGTAAAAGAGGTCTCTGCTCAGTTCTCATTCAACAGGAAGGACATATTAGAAGGCTATGTCTGTAGACTCAGGAGGCGGAGAGAGCCTTAGTGAACAGAATGAGACTCTTTCCACAAAGCAGAATCAGGCCCCAACCAAGGGAATTCTGGATCTGTGTGGACAGAGATATATGTTAGGCAGGAAATCAGAATTTTTCTGGATCTGTCCTGGGCATTGTATTGGATGCCTATAATCCCAGAGGCAGGAGGATCAAGAATTTGAGGCCAGCAAGACCAGAGGGAGCGAGAGCGAGAGCCAGAGCGAGAGCGAGCGAGAGAGAGAGAGAGAGAGAGAGAGAGAGGATTTATGAATCAGTGACCGCTTTGGCCCATTGCCCCATATTACATTCTGAAAAGGAATATCTATTATGGTGCGTTGTCCTAGCCCTCCTGTCTTAGCTTCAGCATTGTGTTAGGTGTGTGGGAGGAAGATAACTTATTTTTAGGACTTAGGCAATGATGTGTTAGTAAATGTTTAACAACTGGTCCAGGGGATTGGGGGTTGGGGGAGGAACACTTAAAAGTCTTGATTTAGCTGGGTGTGGTGGCAAGGCAGAGGCAGGCAGATCTTTGTGAGTTCAAGGCCAGTCTGGTCTACATAGTGAGTTCTAGGAAGCTGGGGCTACAGGGAGACCCTGTCTCAAAAAGACAAAAAGAAGTCTTGATTTGCAGTCATCATCAATTTCTCTAGTATAAATTCTCCCATAATGTCCAATTTTAAGTTTCTAATGTGATGTCACTGAATCCAGAGTGTTAAGATGTTTACCATCAGTTGTCACAAGGCTGTATGAGCCAGGTTTAGGATACCATGAAAGATCCCTGCACCTAAAGAAATGTACCAGAATAGCCAAACTTGGTGGCTCATGCCCTTAAATCCCAGCACTTCAGAGGCAGAGGCAGAGGCAGGAGTTTGAGGCCAGCCTGATCTGCATAGCAAATTCCAGGCCAGCTGGGACTACAGGGAGACCCTGTCTCAAAAAGACCAAAAAAAAAAAAAAAAAAAAAAAAAAAAAAAAAAAAGTACCAGAGAAGCCTTATCTATTTGCTGCTGATTTAGGTGATGAGACTATGAACTTTAAACCTGATCCTGATAGCATCATGGATGAAAATTTGAGGTGGAATAATCCAGAGGGGGTAATTGTATTTCATATATGGGAGTAGGAGTGGCATGAATTATTTTAGGGGCCAGGGCATAGACTATATAGATTGCCATATTGGCAGCCCCTGATGAGCAACACATCCTGGTTTGCTTGACTTTTATCTAGTTCCATCCCACGCTGATTCTGGGCTTGACCACATGTTTTGTCAATGGGACATAAGCAAATAAAGTGTATGCAGAAGCTTGACAATCATTTACACATTGAAACTGCCCTCTTGGAACCTAGCCACCTTGTTTTTTTTGGTCTTTTTGAGACAGGGTCTCCCTGTAGCCCCAGCTGTCCTAGAATTTACTATGTAGACCAGGCTGGCCTTGAACTCACAGAGCTCCGCATGCCTCTGCCTCCTGAGTGCTGGGATTAAAGGCATGTACCACCATGCCTGGCTTTTTTGGTCTTTCTGAGACAGGGTCTCTCTGTAGCTCCAGCTGTCCTGGAGTCACTATGTAGACCAGGCTGGCCTTGAACTCACAGAGATCTGCCTGCCTCTGCTTCCTGAGTGCTGGAATTAAGGCATGCGCCACCACGGCTGGCATTGGAACCTAGCCACCTTGTTTTAAAGAAGGCTGGGCTAGAATGATTGAGGCTTCATGCAGAAAGGTTGCTGTGGATTTTTTTACTTCTGTCTCCTCAAAATTCATATGTGGAAGCTTGCCATGGGACTCATTCCATAATCCCAGTATTTGGGAAGTTAAGGCAGAAGCATCATGAATTTTTGGCCAGTCTGAGCTACATTTTAAGTTTCAGGCTAGCTTGAGCTACATAAGGAGATACTGTCTCAAAAAAGAAAAAAAATCATGTTGAAATTTTATTCCTAATATGATAGTGTTAGGAGGTGGGGCCCTCATGGAGTGACTAATGTCCTATTAAAAGAAACTTCGGAGAGCTCCCTTGTCTCTTGTGAGGTTACAGAGAGAAGAAACCCTGACCAAAATCCTTTCCTGAAAGGAGCTGAGTCCTCTCTGCTTTCTGCCTCCCCCTTTAACTTTCTATGGACTTTATATTAAGCTGTTTAAATCTCTCAGCTGTGTTGTCATTATCTTCATTTACAAATAAGAAAACTATTAACCATCCAGGTCACACAGCTAATAAGTGGCTGGGCAACAACGGGGGTTGTAGGGGGCAGGCTGTGTATCAGTCTTGAAGAAGGAGGGCAGGTGCTAATCAGGGAAAGGAGCCAGGAACAGGTCTTCCAGAGCTAGAGCTTGCATTTTGCTTCTAAGTTCCTTTCTCAGAATTCTTCATCTTTTCTTCAGCTCCCTTCTCTATGGAAGTGTTTCTTTCTTCCAGTCCAAACTTTATCTTTCACATATTTTTCTGAGTTCCATTTTGACCTTGTTCTGATACGAGGACTTTAACATGGGGGCCTGACATATGGAGAGGGATTGTAGTGTTGGTGTTTGACTTTTCCTCCTTTTACCGAAATGGGGTATTCTAGAGAAAGGGGAAATATAGGGGCTGGATCTTAGGGTCAGAGAAATCATAGACTCCCCAGCAACCAGCCCATGGCTCCAGGCCTGGGCAGTGGATGGGCTCACATATGTGGAAGGCTATGGGGCCTACAGAGAGAGGAGCCAGAGGCACTGAGGGAAGGCAGTCTCTAAAGAATTGAACCTTACCAGTTCCCAGCTCCCATGTTAGATATGAGCTATCAGAGACAGATTGGGGGGTGGGAGTCTAGGATTTAGATGCAGACTGTGGAAAGCAGGAAATGAATGTTTTGGGAGAGGAAGTCAAGAGTGAAGTGCTAAGGAAATTTTTCCTTTCCTTGACAGAACAGGTTTTGGGGTGGAGCTGCAGATCAGGAACCCACCTGTCTCTGCAAAGCTGATGATCTCATATTCTTGTTCTTGGTCATCCTTCAGAGTGGCTCCCTGTGGGGACCCATGGAGGCGCTGCAGTGCGGTCTTCAGAACAGTTCTGGAAACAGGCTGGCTCAGTGTGGGGCGCTCGTTGAGGTGCAGCTTGTCCAGGATCCTTCTCTTGGCCAAGTCAAGAAGCAGTTCCCGCTGGCTCTCCAAGTCCAAGGTGGCCCCCCAACATGCTGGACATGGACCACTAGCTTTGAGGGTGACTACTATGGCTGGAGTCAGGAAGAAAAAGGCCAGGAACCAGGAGGAGGTCATTGCTGGAGGAGGCCCTCCTGGAAAGACGCAAATCCAGGGTTCAGGGTCTCAACAGTAGTGGCCTCAACTCTGTCCTGTCTACCAGGGGTCCTGGGAGCAGTATACCTCCAGCTGGCATGACTCCCTTTTGACAGAGTAGCCAAACATCTGACTTCAAAAGTGAAGCCAGTACAGGTAGAACTTGGCAGAGTGTGTCAGTGTAGTCAGTGAAAGTACAGAGCGGGGGATGTGAGGAGAGGTTGGTTTGTTTGGTGAAAGATACATCTCTGGGCTAATGTTGGGACACTGTTACTCATGTGAGCTGCCAGGCCTGGGGACAAAGGTTAGAAATGGAATTCTTCTTTCTCACTAGAGCACTGGCCTTCCTGTGAAGCCTGGGAGAAAAGGGTTTGAAAAAAGTTTTAAACTTGTTTTTATGGTTTTTATGTGTATTAGTGTTATGCCTGCATGTATATAAGTGCACTGTGTGGTACAATGTCCACAGAAGCCAGAAGAGGGCGTCAGATTCCCCTGGAACTGGAGTTACGGATGGTTGTTAGCTCTCATTTAGGTGTTGGGAACTGAACCTGGGCCCTCTGCAACAGTCAGTGCTCTTAACCACTGAGCCATCTCTCCAGCTCCAACACACACACACACATACACACACACACACATACACACACACACACACACACACACACACACACACACACACACACGAGGTGTAGGACTACCTGAAAAATGGGCCCATGAATGGACAGATGGGCAAATGGATGGCAATGCAAGTGGACTGCATCAGTCAATGGGGATTGTGCTGAAGTCCTGGGAACATTCAGAAGCTTTCTGCCTGTTGGTTCCTTGATGCATGTACCTGGTACAGATGACATGTCAATGGGGCCATCCATCACTGTCTTAGGTGTCCCTTTTACAGGATCTGTATGAGGGCATGTGTATGGTGGTTGCACCCTTCTTCATTAATCTGGTATGTTTATTAAGTTCACAGATCTGGTTTTACTGATTAAAAATTTTTTATATGGGGGTGGTGGCAGAGGCAAGTGGGAATCTCTTTAAGTTCAAGACCAACCTGGTCTACATAGAGTTCAAGGCTAATTGGGGCTACAGGGAGACTTTGTCTCAAAACCCTCTTCCCCTCAAATATTTAGCATTTTAATTGTGTGTGCCCATGTGATACCATGGTATGTGCGTGGTGGTCCAAGGACCACTTGTGGGAATTGGTTCTTTTCTATCATGTGGTTTCAGGGATTCAATACAGGCTGTTAGGTTTGGTAGCAAGTACCTTTACCAGCTGAGTTGTCTTGCCAGAGCTTTGATGGTTTCATTATGCACATGTGTTTGTATGTTCCCATCTACTTCCACAAGTGTATAGGTGGTACATTTTTACTTATAGGAATAATTTATCAGTCTGGTTGGTGCTGGACAGGTGCACAGAGTCATTCTGCCTCTGCATTTGAACTCAAAATGGAGCCAACTTGCTTTGTAAATGGAGTCACAACTTAGAGCAGGTAGGGCAGGGACTCAGAGCAGGGTACAGTTTGGTCTCCATACCCGGTTTCCTATATCCTCAGTAGGAAGACTGAAGCTGGAGAAGGAACTTAGGTCTAGAGTTTTTCACCCTTTGCAACTAGTTCTACCTAGGAAAAGAAGTTTTGACGTTTTTCAGAATTCTTAGTTCTGTCCCTCAAAACTCTCAAGTAGTGGGTCCCCAAGGAGAGGACCTACCTGGCAAGGGTAGAGGGTGGAGAAAGGAAAGTATGCTTTTAAGTCAGATGGTTTGGGCTAAAATTCTGCTTACTTCCTGTAAAAATAGGAAAAAAAAATCTTCTGGGTCTGGAACCTAGGGTTCACACATGCTAGGACACGTCTACCACTGAGTCACATCCTAAGCCTAGCTCTTCATTTGATTAGTTCTGACTCTGAACAAGTTACTTGATTGTCTTGTTTTAGTTTCTGCATGGGGAAAATCATCACTGAGAATTCCCAAAGCACTATAATCCATACTTTTTTGAGTGGTGGTGGTAGTAATTAATCTGGTGGCTGAAAGTGACATGAATTATGATTTTTTTTGAGACAGTATCTCACCATGTAGCCCTGGATAGTCTAGAACTCACTATGTAGATCAGGCTGGCCTCAAATTCACAGTGATCCACCTGCCTCTGCTCCAAGAGCTAGAACTAAGGACCTGGACATTTATGATTTTAAAAAAATCTTGCTAAAATTTTTTTGGGTATAGATTAAAGTATTGAAGGGCTGAAGATGCAGCCCAGTTGGTAGAGTGTTTACCTACCTTGCACGAAGTTGGCTTCAATCCCCATTACCACATAAGCCAGGCATGGTAGGGAGTACATGCCTGAAATCTCAGTATTTGGGATATGACAACAGGAGTATCAGAAATTCAACTCAGCCAAAAGATGGCAGAGCTCCAGAATTTCTCACGTAACCACATACAGAAGGACAACTTAGGAAGAAGTACTCCTATAGCTCCATGAGTCACACATGTAAAAATTGTTTAAAAGTTGGGGCTCAGTGGTTAAGAGCACTGGCTGCTCTTGCAGAACACCCAGGTTTGATTCCCAGCATCCATGTGTCAGCTAACAACTGTCCATAATTCTATTTCTAGGGGATCTGACACACTCTTTTGACCTCTGTGGGCACTGTACAACATGGGTGCACTTACACACATGCAGGCATAACACTCATACACATAAAATAAAAAAAAATAAAGTGTCCAACAAGAAAGAGAGAGAAAGGACTCTTCATTATCTCCCTCCCATACAAACGAAGAAGCAGAGACCCATAGAAGTGCTTTTTTTCTAAAATTATAAGCCAAGACATATCTAAACTTCAAGTTTCCAATGTCTCAAAGCCAGCTTTCATCTGCCTGTCAATAGTGTTGGTTTCACAGGGCTGGACCAGGATGATCATTTGCCAGTTAGTCTCTGGATTCTGGATTCTACCATCTTTTTTTTCTTTTCCAATGCCAGGGATTGAACTCAAAGCTTCATGCATGCTAGGTAAGCACTCTACCACTGAGCTAGCCCCCACAATCTTAATTTTTCAGTTTTAAAAAAAATTTTATTTTATGTGTATGAGTGTATTGCCTGCATGTATGTGAGTGCACCCATGTCATGCATTGCCACGGAGGTCAGAAGAGGGCTTGGGAATCCCCTGGAACTGGAGTTAAGGTGGTTTGTAGCCGTCATGTGGGTGATGGGAACCGAACCCAGGTCCTCTGCAAGAGCAGTCAGTATTGTTAACCGCTGAGCTAACTCTCCAGCCCAGTTTTTCAGATTGTTATGTAGCTGTGTGGTTTTTTTTTTTTTTTCTTCCAGATTAAAACATCCCCTTTTGGAGGGAGGGAGTGGGAGAGAATGCTCATGAAATTCACAAGAAACTTGCCAGACTCACAAAGTCTTTCTCTAAGGTTATATAAAGAAGTGAATTGCTGGGGTACAGGAGACTCTTCAATGATGTGGCTGCCTGCAAAGTAGGGTATGGAATTCTAGTAGTGTAGCTTTCATGAGTCAGTGCCTGTACTGGTATAGGGTTTTTGGTGGTGCAGCTATCTGGATTACCCACACTCCTGTAAGTAGCCCCTCACCTATGTTCGTGTAAGTAACCTCAATAAATTCATGGTTCGCTAATCTAAAAAAAAAAAAATGACATTCAAGATCATCCTTGGTTACATATTGAGATGGAGGCCAGCCTAGTCTGTGTGAGACTCTGTCTCAAAAAAAAAAAAGTTAAATACTACTTATGAGTATCATTCCCACCCTGCTGCCTTTTGAGACAGGGTTTCACACAACCCAAGGTGGTTTCAAATTCACTATGCAGTCATAGATGACCTTGAACTCCTGATCTTGCTTCCACTTCCTGAGTGCTGAGATAAAAGGCCTTTACCATTACACGGCCTCATTTTATCTTTCTAAAGCTTGTAATGCAGCTAAGCATGGTGGTGCAGTATTAGAAGAGTTGAAGCAGAAGGATGGTAAGTTGGATATCTGACTCAAAACTAAAACAAAAATCCAATACAACAAAACAGAAAGAAAAACTAAGTTTTCTGCTTGGAGATGTATCTTTGTGGTAGAGTTTTGACCTAGCATGTATGAGGTCTAGATTCAATCTCTAGCACACGGAAAAAATTAAAACAGAAAAGAAAAAGAAGAAAATAAACTTTTTTTTTTTTTGTCTTTTTGAGACAGTCTCCCTGTAGCCCCAGCTGTCCTGGAACTCACTATGTAGACCAGGCTGGCCTTGAACTCACAGAGATCCGTCTGCCTCTGCCTCCTGAGTGCTGGGGGAATCAAACTTAGATTGCCTCTGAGGGCGGTAAAAACCTGTCAGCTGTACTATCAAGCTGATCCAAGAACGTGATTTTAATAGGATGGTCTTGTTCCTCTCTGGGTCAGATTTTTTTTCGTATGTAAAATGGACATTTACCTACTGAACTATATTTATACAAGTATTAAGTATGAGCATTATTTTGGGTGCAGGTCTTGTTCGGGCGAGCCGAGGCACACACCTGCAATACCATCACTCAGGAGGCTGAGGTTTGCTAAGTTCGAGCACAGCTTGGGCTAGAGCGAGGCCGGCCTAGGCTACCCAAGGCCTTGTACACCATCCACCCCTCCAAAGGTCCTAATTGCAAATCCATTTTGAAAGTGCTCTCCCTGCAAGACTCGTTGTCACTCAACTCTGGGGTGGTCCTGAGTCTTGCGCTTAGGATAGACCAAGCAACCCCAACCTGCCCTAGAGGTGACGCCCCTCGCTCACACCGACGGCGACACAGAAGGCCAACCCCGGTGCACACCGCGTGGAGGGGAGCGCAAAGAGGAACGCAGTAGGTGGGCGCCGGCGGGCGGGGAGAAGCGCACACAGGAAGCTGCGACGCGAGGAGCGCAGGACGCGCTGACGACCGCGCCAGACGTGGTGACGTAGCGCGCAGGCCGCTGCGGGGGGCGGACTCCGGGCCTTCCCCTTCTGCTTCTCCCCCTCCCCCTTTTCTCCCTTTCCGGGTTTGGGTCCCCCCTTTTCTTCCCCTCTCCCCCTCCTTCCCGAGTCCCTTTCCCTTCCCCACCCCGCACCCCTGCTTCCCTGCCCCAGGCCCCGCGGAGACCCC